AATGGGGAAATAAATGATTAATAATTAAATATAAGGGTAAATTACGGTCAACCCTGAAGTAAGGTTAAATTATGAAAAAACATATCATGTTTGGGTAATTTGAGTAATGACAATCATCCCTTCAACTATGAATCATTTAACACGTTCATCATTATGGTGTCAAATTCAACATAATCTTGTAGATTTTGTGGAATGTTCTCTAGTTGAGTACTCGTTTTGTGAAAAATTACAGTTTCTGATCCACCACAATTTGATATTTACAAGTCAAAAGACACATCTTATGATTATTATTTTTTCAAAACGTGGGGCTCGAATCGGATCAAATGCGTACAAACTGGAGAATAATATTTCACATAAACTATAAGATTCCCCACTAAATTTAACACCACTATAAGAAGATTCACACTTAAGAGCGATGATTGTAGTTATTCAAATATGATGAATTATTTTGTAATTTGACCTTATCTCAAGGTTGATCGTAATTTACTCTAAATATTATGAAAGAAGTATAAGATCCTAGACCATGCTAATTAATGCAACCAAGAGGTTGTCCCCTCTTTTACTGTGCTTTTTTGGTTCATAAGGTCTAAAGCAAATTTATCATACGTCTTCATTTGTTAATCCCATAATTAGAGAGCTTAATTGTGCAAGTTGCAACCCTTAAATTGTGTATGTTGTCATTAGTGATTTTGGCCTTGAGTTTAATTAACAATAACTTAATTGGAGGATTTCAGTCCACAAGTTTCGCATCGGTTTATGCATTTCGTATAACTTTTAGATCGCCCCATGATTAATTGGTGCGGCAGTGATTAATCATCGATATAAATCGATTTTTCAAGCTCAATTTAATATATTTATAAATATTATTTGTAAGTACTCAAAACATAAAAGTAAATTTTGATACGATTATATCCCGTCATTTATATATCATAATCACATAATTAACTTTAATAATAATAAGATCGAATCATAATCGAATAAAAATCCTTACAAAATACAAATAAAACGAAAATCTGTTGCAGTCAAAATTATGTTTGAACTATTGCAAGCATTTATGATTAGGAGTTTTAAAAATAACAATTAACATAAAAAAAAAAAGCACAAACTCATTTTTAATTAAAAGACCATGTTTTTTTTTGGAAAATAAATATGATTTTTGACCGATTTCTCCACCAAATTTTGAACCTCCTTCAAGGTTTGACCGTCTCAACCGGCCTCGGACCGCCTCACAACCAAAACCTGAATTTTCAAATCTTTACACCGAAGATATATCGAACCGCCGCCACCTCAGAAATCGATTGATCGGCCGTCTCGGCCGATTTTTAGAATGCTTACTATTTGTAATAGGTAATCTAGTTGTACCGTGAATTAGGATCGTCTTTGTTTAAAGAAAATTTATAATTGTAATTTGTTAGTTATAATTATATATTAAATTTACTGAAGGGTATTTTAGTCCATGAAGTAAGCTTCTCTAATGAAGTTATGTTAAAGTTGACAATTTGGATTATTATTTAGGTGGGGTTTGTAAAAAGTTAAAAACTTTTAAAAATAGATTATGAGTTTTTTTCCTTACATAATCAGTTTTTAGGTGTTTTTAAAATTGACTTTTACTTTTGCTTCTCTTAAAATAAGCTGTTTTAAACTATAATTTTAAAATCAGTCATGTACCTTTTTTTCTATTTAAATTGATTTTCCATATTTTTTGCAAACACCTCGACTTGTAAAATTAAGCACTTAATATTAACTTAACTCACAATCACGAACTTATATTTTTAAATAAGCTTTTGCAAACACTACCTTAGTATTTATTCATTTTAATTTTAGGATTTTTTTAGATGTAGGAATAGTTTCTGGGATTGTTTTGGATGGAATATTATTTAATTAGGACATTTTAGTATTTCTCTCCAAAAAAATATGTTATTGTAAAATAAAATTTTAACTGCAAAAAATAAATTAAACAAATTAAACATAAAATAATTTATTTTTCATATGTTTATGATAACAAAGAAAACCGCAGCCAATCATATATGTGTACTGTATAAACCTACACTCTCGTATAATAGGTTGCAAACATTTTTCATATTTAGTTTTATGAATCAACATTAACCTTTATACACGAGCAAATAAAATATGTATATATGTATTCTTGTTCTAAACTACATGCGAATATAAAGTTCATGCGATCACTAATAAACGAGATCAATTATACAATCTTTTAGCCTATATTTTGGTATTGAAAGAAATTTCGAAGGAATATCAGTAAAAATTTCCGGAAGAAATCCACACACCTTTTCTTAATTTAAAATTTTATAATCAGTAAAAAGAGCTAATAAGTTCATTATCTAAACACTTTAAAAATTAGTCTAAAAATAAGATGTAACAACTTAGCAGCGTTTAAAACAACTTATAAGATGTAAGAGCTTATCAGCCTTTTAATACAAGCTTAGCCAAACGGGCTCTAATTTATTATCAAATGTAGGGGCATAATAGGGAAAAGGAAAATATTAAGTTGCATAATAACATGGTCATAAGAAGCATTGTCTTAATCCAACCTTGGTGTATGGTTATGAAAGGCATGCAATTAAGATCTTTTAGGCATCAATCAAATACACATATTAGGGGTAATTAGGCCATTGGAGCAAGAAAACTTTCTATCTCTTTTTGTCTTTTATATTGTCAACCACAAACCACAAGAATTCCAGCAAATAGCCAGCTAGCTCTAAAAAACACATTAGGTCATCTCTCTCTCTCTCTCTCTCTCTCTCTCTCTCTCTCTCTCTCTCTCTCTCTCTCTCTCTCTCTCTCTCTCTCTCTCTCTCTCTCTAATTATTTTTGGATGTCAATAATCTATAATATATATATTTTGTCTTTTTGCCAAAGAATTTCATTTCAAGTATTGAAAAGATGGTGTGATGGTGGGCTAAGATAATATGAAATTCAGCCACATGAAATGGTTGCTTGGTGATGAACTTTAAGCTATATATATAGATATATATATATATATATATATATATACATATATATATATATATATATATATATATATATATATATATATATATATATATATATATATATATATATATATATATATATATATATATATATATATATATATATATATATATATATATTTTACATTTATAAAAAAAATTGGAGTGTTGCAGATAAAATATCGAATTTCGGCTACATTTACTAAAGAAACTATAGGTGCAAATCGGAATGGAATTTCTGAATTCCGTCAATTCCGATTCGAAAATCTCGAAAATTGGAACTATATTTTTTATTCCGGTTTTTTAAGTTTCGATTTTTCAATTTTTTATCTGAACGGAATTGGAATTGTATATAAAATTACTGAAAATTCCAATTTGACTCCAAATATTTTCATTGTTTTAATATAATTTTGTGATATATTTTTGTAATTCCATAATATAGTGTATATTATATTTTATATGAAAATTGTGAATCCCGAGGGCCAAATAAACTAAAATCCTAGAAAATATTAATTGGTATCTGATATGCCTAATTGGGTCAGCCCAATAAGCCTACAATTTCTCTATTTATTGGACAACGGGCCCGATTTATAAGAACACTATAACGAAAGTTCAATCACCTTTAAATAAGGTTTGGGCCTTACAAA